AAGCCTGGATGATCATAGTATCTGGATGAGAATCAAAATGGTGATATCCATGGAAAAATGCTACCCTCTGGTTATTTGTTACATAGCCATGGATGGAAAATGGCAGCCATGGCCCATAGAAATAGATGGTTTACCTATTAAAAATGGTGGATCTTTCCATGGCTATGTTAAATAACCAGATCATATTTGGATGGTAGTATAGTGATGGTGTTCATAGTAAACTGATAAGTTCATAGTTCATGATATTATGGATGATAATCAAAAATGGTGAAGCCAGAATAACTGAAATCAGGGCTTTCCAACACTGGATCAATGGTGCTCCATTGTTATAAAATGTTATAAAAGGGTGATAATTAAATGAGTCATAGTCAATATTAACATATATTAACAAGGTAACCTTTGTGCTCAAATATGCAATCCAGTGAAGAAGTGTATAGTCGCTATGCTTAGCAAGTCACAATTTCCTGGCTCACCCATGAATAAGTAGGTAGGTGGATGTGACGACCGTGCTGTATACACATGTTTGTGGCCTAAACCTAAAATGTACCAATTATTTTTTTGGGAGTCACCGCGAGTTTTCATCTGCAAACCTTTTGTGGGTCTTGTTCTGGACACCACCAGCATCAGCACCAGCATCAGCACCAGCATCAGCACCAGCATCAGCACCAGCATCATCTCGATCTTAGGGATAACCAAGTCTTGAGAATTCCAAATATGTGTCTGCGGTATGATTGTATAGATACATATTGTATATAAATCCATGTGTACATATATATATATATATATATGTACGTAGGTACGTACGCATGTATACATGTACACAGATGTATACAGGCATGTAAATGTATGTACATACGTGACTGTATACCATCTGGTAATTTAAACAGCCATGGAAAGATCCACCATTTTTAATAGGTAAACCATCTATTTCTATGGGTCATTTTCCATGACTATGTTAAATAACCAGAGGGTATGAATCTATACATATATATATATATATGTATACATATGGTGTTCTAACCGTGTGTTCAACTCCAAACTCGGATGGTTTTTTTCCAATTTCTTGGACCCAGTTGAGGGAGGAACCTGCATTGTCAGTGATAAGGCATCCATTCTTAGTCGTAAACTATCCACTCTCAAGGAATAAACATGCAAAGTCAGCTGGAACCATCTTAGTCGTCGACCTTGAGTCGTAAACCGCAGCTGGTTCCCCGGAGTAGTGTGGTGAGGTCTTTGTGACTTACAAAGTCACAAATCCCAAATGTTCTTCCATCTCAAATTCTGTCAGAATATCTATGTGTAAACATATATACCTGCATTGCATTACATTGCATTGCATTTCATTATACTCCACTACATTACATTACATTACATTACGTTACGTTACGTTACGTTACGTTACGTTACGTTATCTCACCTTCACACTACATTACATTACATTACATTACATTGCATTGCATTACATTACATTACATTCTGTTATCTCACCTTGACATTACATTACATTACATTGCATTACATTACATTACATTCTGTTATCTCACCTTGACATTACATTACATTACATTGCATTGCATTACATTGCATTACTTTATCTCACCTTAACTTCACATGACATTACGTTACACGTTACCTTACCTTACCTTACATTACGTTATCTCACCTTCACAGTACATCAAGTTGCATTACATTTTCTGACCTTAACTTTACATTACACTACGCTACATGCCACCAGCACAGTTGGCCACCAGCCACCACCATTTCCGAAACCCTTTTAGCGCCTCCCTCTCCGGCGGCCGTTCCACTCCTGGCACCAGGGGCCCTTTTTTTTTTACTCCAACCTTGGGAATTCGAATGGGATGTTAATGGGATATCACTGAACTAATATCATTGGGTTGGTTTAAGGGAAAATCTACAGGAAACCATGGTGTTTACCATCAAATATAGGGATTTCCTGTAAATTTTCCCATCATCCAATTCTATGATAATAAGAATAATGGATGATACCCTCTGGTAAACATACAAAAAACTATGGAAAGATCCACCATGCTATTAATGGGAAAAACATACAAAAAACTATGGAAAGATCCACCATGCTATTCATGGGAAAACTCACTATGTCTATGGCAATATTTTCAATAGCTATGTAACAAATTACCAGAGGGTAATGTTAATGGGGTGTTACTGGGATGTTAATGGAGGGATTTGCCGTCCTGTGAATTGACGTGACGACCCTGCCATGAGTTGGGGATAGATTTTCCACTAAAAACCGGCCATGTTTTTTCGTATGTTAAGCGGAGGAAAAGTCATAGCTATCAAGTGTCATGTGGGTATGGGTCAATACCAATTTTAATACCATTTTTAGTGGGATGAACATCCATAAATCCCAGCTATTTTGGGGTTCACCAGGGGTACCAGGGTTTTGACCCATCCCCATGTGCTAAGGATATTAGACATGTGAAAATAGGGACATGATATCATGGAATATAGAATTGGCGATATAACATGGCTCATGTGGAGTTCACAGTGCCTCCATCCCCAGATTTTTTAACCACAAAGGGAGGCTACAAAATCAAACATTTAGTGTTGATCCCCCATTATATTGGATATCCCAACTTGTTAATATACAAAATATAACATATAAATTAGTATCTATATGTATATATATATAGACATACGTAAATATATATATATATATAAATATGTGTATATAAAAATATGTGACATACACATAATCATATGTGTTTATGCAGTCAAGTTTGGCGTGGCTTCTTTTTTGGTGGAAAAAAATACCACCATGAACTGTACAAAGAAATAGCAACTCGACCAATCATGGCCAAGATATCCCTCCAAAAACAACATCTTTTCCCATCTTTTCATGTGCACGAGTTTGTGTTGTGAGAGCTCGGTTTTATATTAATAAAACACTCCAAAAAAAGTAGGGATCGGAGCACTTTTTGGGGATGAGGTCGGAAAATGCATTGATTCAGTGATTCACTGTTCTATTGACTCATTGATTCATGAAATCTTTGAACAATTGATTCATCGATCCAATGATTCGCTGATTCGTTGATTCATTGAACCGTTGAATCATTGATTCATGAGTTCTGTGAATCGTTGAATCATTGATTCATGAGTGCAGTGCATAGTTGAATCCTTGATTCATGAATTCGGTGATTCATTGACTCAGTGATTTACTGATTCATGGATTGGTTGATTCATTGACATCATTGAATCAGTGATTCATTGAATCATCGACTCATTGGTTCATTCAGTCAGTTGTGCACGGATTCTTCCATCTCATTTCATTGGCATCTCAGCCACCATCTGTGCATTCGTTGATGCACCTCACAACTTCACAACACTTAACTGCTTCTGCATCTCAAAAGCTTTCCTATCGGCATCTATAGGCCATTGATTTCTTATAACCAGCTATATTTCTTCGAAACTTCCGTCCTGGCACGTTCCGGGCACTACCTGGTATATGGGATATGTAAGCAAATATGTAAGGAGCAAAAAAAGAACACCTATTGGAACATCGCCTATACTTAATCGATGGATGTGCGAAAATCTCGGGATTCTGATTGGAAAATCACCAAACTATATATACCAAACCAATATTGTGATTATATATAGGAAAATCCACCAAATAATGGTTGCTTTTTAATGGGATTTCCAGCTGATGGCCCTTGAAAAAGAAAATGTGTTGCTAGGTGATTCCCAGCAATACCTCAGCCTCTGGCTGGTGAAAAATTCACGGGTGTGATTAGCACCGCAAATCTACGATTTTCATCGCGATGTTCATCACTTTTTGGGATGTGGCCCCACACATAAATCACCAGGCTGACCAAATACCCGTATAAGAAAATGAAAAGGAAATCATCTGGGTATGATACTTGCCCCTTTCTGTCTAAAAATTCCAAGATCTGAGCGTGACATGTTAAACAATAAGAAATCAGTGGAGTCTTCTTCATTTAGGTTCAAAAGCTTAGGGTGCTCCATCATGACTCTCTAATACTAGTACACCGCGCCCAGCAAAAATGTGTCTCCTACACAGGATTGTGACCCAAAAATTATAAGTTGCAATCAAAAAAAAAACATCGAACTGAATCGACATATATATATATATACACCAGAAACCCAACAGTCAAGCGACTTACTTTGGATCGTTGCGAAATCCCAATCATCAGTTGATAGATGGTGCACATCCCATTATTTATAGGGTTGAAACACCATCCTTTTGGTGGTGCGGGATTTCGCTGGCCCATCCACAGGGGACCACCGTACCCGCGCTGGGATTCCCAGCGATGCTCCACTGGAAGCACTCGTGGTTCCAGCCAGCCCCTAGATTTTCGCGGCACCGTTCGCTCATCTTCGGTACTGTGAAACATAATAACTTCATTGGTTGATATATATATACACAGTATTCACAACATATAAAAGCTATATACTTGACTATATGTGTATGTGATCAGTTTCTTTCCGGCTTTAAGTTAAGTTCTTTGCAAATGAGCTCAGCTATAGCTGCTTCATCTATTTTATGTCCATCCAAAACTGGCCGAAAAGGAACGCTAAGCCCTAAGCCTCTGGGCATTTTCTCCTCCCCTGGCTGAAAAATATTGAGAACACAATTCATTGCTTCGTCATCATTTTCCAGCATTTTCCCATCATGTTCCATCATTTCACCATCATTTCACCATCATGTTCCATCATTTCACCATCATTTCACCATCATTTTTCAGCAATTGTCCCATATTTTCCCCATGTCCATTGCCATCAAACTTGGGCTATTCCCAGCATACTCCTTAGATGATGTGGTGAGCGTTCGCCCTCGCCATGCTCGCCTCTGCATTCCGTTCTGAGCCTAGGTGGACTTCCCCTCAGGAAAATCATGGAAAATCCACCAGCACTCCGATGATTTTCCCACCCTCCATGGCCACTTCGTGGATGTTCCATGTTTTCATGTTTTCCATGACACCGGATGCTACATGTATCGTGAGTTTTCAGCACATGTCTTCTTCCGCCATGCCGTCGATGGTGCACTTTTTGGCACCTTTTTCAGCACGGCCATGGCATGTTGGCGGTTTGCCTCCAGTAGCGCTGAAGCCAATAGCCATTGCCTTGGTACAACCACTTGGGTCTGCCAGTCTGCGAGGCGAAGAAAAATGGCGGTGTTTTTACGGTGAAATTTCAGCCCAATAAGTTGGGAGATGGGGCCCAACTTTACTATGCTTATCTATCAATCCCGTTTGAATTGGAACTACGCCTCCAAGTAGAAATAGGCAGAAAATTGTGTTTTAGCGGCTCAGTTGATGATATGGTGGGGATGTAATAGATTACCATAGGGAGCTTCGGACCAACCAGCAACAATCTGGAAGAATTACAAACAAAAACGGATCAAACAGATTGGTTTTTACCAGAATGTGCAGATCGCCAAGAATCATTGGGATGTTTGCTTATCACAATCAATTGAGATATAACATTGCCTTTATATTATATATATATATATCGCCATAATCTTGCCATATATCCCCAAACAACCAGTCAAGCTGGGTCTAAAGCTGGTCACATCAGCACATGTGGTTGCTCTGCATTGGTCAGCGGGGGACCAACCAGGTAGCCGCCCTTGGATTGTCACCGAATAAACTATCCCCCATTTACCCAATCCTTTCGGGGGTATTGAAGCCCATACCTAAGAAGGGAGGCCCAACCATTGGGTTTACGACATCCCAAGTCTTGAGTCTTGAGGTACCTTCAATCTGAGGTGACATCTGAAAGGACGGAGTTGGTAAGTGGAAGCTGCAGAAGATTTGAGATGACCATTCCAGAAATCGTAAGTTGTTTCTCAAAAACGAAAAGCTGTCACTCACCGACTAAAATCAAACAAGTATCAAACAACCAGGATAGGTATGGATACCCTCTGGTAATTTAACTACAGCTATTGAAAATGGCCCATAGAAATAGTTGATTTACCTATTTATGGTGATTTTCCAGTTCGCCAACTGTTAGTTTACCAGAGGGTAAAGTATGGATTTGACTCACTTCGAAATATGGAACATCCACGGGACCCCATGGGATTTAGCCACCCCAATCCGGTCATCGGTTGACCAGCTCTCGTTCTACCAGGCGAGGATCATCATAGCCTGGTAGGCCTTGGTACAACTGGAGATATCTGGGCCTGAGAGTAGGATGTTTGGCACCCTGCCTTAGGGAAAAGTTGGAAAATACGGGAAGGAAAGCCGATCCTTGTGACTATTCCAAGCATTTTGTAAGCTTTTAGGTCATTATAATTCATCCAAAACAATATTCACATTAATATCCCATTCATATACCATGTCCATATCCCACTCATCCCATAAAAATTGCTCATGATGATCCAATCATCCTCGTTAGACTATCCAGATATCCAATGAATGATTATCCCAATGATTTTGAACCAAGGAGCCACCAGGGCAGCTGCATAGGAAACCGCATTGGCGCCCTTAGTGTATGCTGAACCGGAGCAGGTGTTGGGATGCAGTTTGTGCCTGGAAAATCTGGAAAATACCATGTTTGTATGGCGATTTTAATAGGAAAATCATGGAAATCCTAGGAAAATCGTCCAACATTCATGGCGTATGAATTGGTAAAAAAAAAACAGTGAGAAAATCATCGAACTAAACGGACAATTCAATGGTAAAATCATCGAACTAAATGGTGGATTGTCCAAGGACATGTTTCATTGAGGGTATATGGCTTTGGGTGCCAAAGTTGGGTTTTTTCCCCCCTCAATTCCCTCAATCCATTGATCTTTTTCATCGTGTTCCCCTATGAAATTGCCATGGTGTACACCATTTGACTCACCCAATTGGGTACAGAAATGGGCATCGTGATTTTTGGCCCTACATTATCCTATTGAAATGGCCCTTTTTTTAGGAAAGTAAGTGGTACCAGTGAGTCAGTACCAGAATAACTCACTTTGTTTTAATCCATGTGTAAAAAACAACTATTCTGCGGGAGATGGCCATGAATTATTTATTTTCGCCAAGGAAAAACCACCCCCGCGAAAATTCTGCGGTCCAAGAAGCGCTCTCCATTTCTTGCAGCAACAGTGTCGCCCAGCGCCACTGATTCCCTGCCATTTCGATCCAAAAACGCCAAGTGCCATTTCGAACCAAAACGGATTTTGACATCACGAATTCTTGAGTAATTTTCTGGGACTTTAGTGGGTGATATCTTAAGTTCTGAGGAGACCCAAGTTTGATCCATCTCCAAATGACCGTAGTTCATGAGTTCAGCCATCAGCAGACTTTATCTGCCAGGAACTGCGAGAAACTTTGCAAGTATGATTCGAATCCGTGTAGAAATGGGACATGCAATATAAGATATAAGATTAGGTCTTTAACCACTCAAGAATTGGGTGCCAACAAGTTTGTTGGAGCACTCTTTAGCCACTCAAAATTTTGGTGTAATCCTATTTCAATGTTTAAACACTCAAAATGGTAGCTTTTGACCACAATACCAGTTTCTTCAAAAAACACAGCCATCCGACATACTATCACAAGCTACGCTCAACTCCCCCATTGCCCACTTTCAAACTCTCCCTCGCCCACTTTTACCAATGTTGAAGCTAGGTGGAATGGAACTGCAAACAAAATAGTTTTTTTGAAGGGCCTGAGACAACAAATCTGGAACAGGACTTTGAAGCTGTGGGTATATATGGGGGCCGAAGTTGGGACCCATGGGCAACCATTTCCCCTTTGCAACGCTTCATGGCTGTTTTGTTGTTTGAACCCTGGCAGCCACTGTCCTGCCGCACATGCACGCACCACTGCATTGGCACCAATCACGTCCTGGGACCGTGGACCCGGTGGACCCGTAAAACTGGTCATTTTCATGGGTTTTGTTCATCCGCGGCAAAACACACCACAAAAAAAAAGATAGAAACGTATTTCCAGGATGCTACAGATGATGTTTCCTCCAAAATTCCAGCCTCCAACTTTCTATCTCTTTGAAGATTGCTAAGATATATATATATATATATACGCGCAACGCCTGGGCTTTGCCCAGGCGTTGCAGCTAGAGGGTCCCCATTCCCAATCAAATGTTGTTGCAACTCTGCATTCCATTGGGACGATCAACAAAGGTATTCGGGGATATTAAAATCCCGTTAAACTCTACATCCAACTGGGAAGATCAACTAAGGTAGTAGGGAATATTAAAATCCCGTTAAACTCTACATTCAATTGGGAAGATCAACAAAGGTATTAGGGAATATTTCAATCCCACCCCCATTTAACTTTACATTTAATTGGGTTTGATCAACAAAGGTATTAGGGTTCATTGAAAATCTTCAATAAGGGTTTAATTCTCCCACCCCCGTTAAACTTCTACATTCATTGAAGATCTCCAATAAGGGTTTAGTTCTCCCACCCCCGTTAAACTTCTACATTCGTTGAAGATCTTCAATAAGGGTTTAATTCTTCCACTCCAGTTCAACTTCTACATTCATTGAAGATCTTCGATAAGGGCTTAATTTCCCCACCCCCATTTAACTTCTACATTCGTTGAAGATATTCGATAAGGGTTTAATTCTCCCACCCCCGTTAAACTTCTACATTCATTGAAGATCTTCAAAAAGGGTTTGATGATGATGATGATGATGATGATGATGATGATGATGCGGATGATGCGGATGATGCGGATGATGCGTATGATGCGTATGATGCGTTGCCTGTCGTGGTTGCGGTTCCGGGCAAAGCCCAGGCATTTGCCGTAGTAATATGTACTATGTATACGTATAATTAATAACCTTTGAGCCATTCCCACGTCGAGAATGAAAGACTGGCCGCATCTATGGTGAACCAACCAATCATGGGAAGAAACCAATCAAAGTAAGCAAAGAGGGCATAGAAGCACCATTGTGAGCGCCAAATCACCCGCTCAAAACCTAGAAAATCACAAACAGTTAAAAGAAAAAAACACACAACAACAACTCGCAGCAAGTCTCCCACAATATCCCAACCCTGATTTGTTGCTGAATAGTTGCGATTTCTGTTCCAACCCCCCCTGTGTCGGGAGAATCTTCACCAGCAACAACCAATAATAATGGCTTAACCATCATTGGTTCATAGTTATTATTGATTATTGGTTATCACCCAAGCATATCATGAAGTGGATCATCGAATCCCCATGAAGTTGATTCGTTAAACGATACGTAGCTACCGGCCTTCTTCCAGCTGATCACAGCTGAAATTTGGCCATTGAAAAAAGCCTAGCAGTTCTGTTGGTGAACAAAACCTCATCTAATAAAAAAGTATGTATGGATTCTGATCCAATTCTATCCACCATAAAGCCCACCTAGAAATATCATTTTTTTCTGTTGCTAAAGCAATAGGATCCACCACCCCCCAAAATCACCATCAAAAATGGGTGCTATAAACCATATATAAACCATATATAAACCATATATAAACCATATCGAAACCATATAGAAACCATATACATATATGTATATCCATATGGCTGGTTTATTCCAACATGAAGTCCCACAGCAAGCCACCCAGGCATCCAGGCCTCCTTCGAAGCGTCGGTCGAAATCTGCAGCGCCTGGCGCCACTGGGCCGCACGGGCCAAGGCGCCAAGCAGGGCGTTGATGCTGATGTGGTCCAGCGCACAGGCCTGGTTTATGAACCAACTTACATCAGCCTGAGGGGCACCATCCTGATTCATCCTGTAGGTATTGTGGATTATTGTTGGTGCCGAATGGGATGATGACTTGATGACAGTCAGAATAGGGGTCCTATGAGTTCGTTGAACGAAAAAATGGGGAGATGAACAGCAAGAATTGGGGATTTACTCATGATTTTCCCACGATTTATCATGATTTACCAACATTTATCATGATTTTCCTGGTATTTTCATGGTATTTACCATGATTTACCAATGATGTTGTTGTGGGTCAGCATCCCGCGGCCGATCCTGGATCCTCTGGATCCTTCGGCCAAGTCACTTAAAGGCCTTGAAGGAAACCCCCTAAAGTAATGCTTAATACAATGTGGTGCCCCCCAGTTATAAGTTGGTTTATAAACCCCATGAATACTATAGTTATATCTACCATAAACCATAGTTATTGGACTTACTAACCAACTTAGCTAACTATGGGGCACCACTTTGTATGAATACCATCTGGTTATGACTAACATAGCCATGGGAAATGGTTTACCGTTCTTAAAAATAGTGGATCTTTCCATGACGAACTGTTAGTCATAACCAGATGGTAATATGAATGAATATATTCATAAGCATTGATAAGTATCATCGTATGAATAGTAGCTAGTATTCGCCACCCATTTCCTCGTCTCTAAGCCTGTGATCAGTCTTTTGGCTTTGTATCCACGGAGATCCCCCGACGGTATCTCCTGTCTACAAACTGCCCATTGATTTTGGAATGTGTTGTTTTTCTTGAGGTGCACAAAATCCATCAACTATGATGTACCTGATAGAGTCTGACGATGTCTGACATATACTATCAGAAATACTGCACTTTATTGTACTTTCACTTTCTTTACACCAACAGAAGCCATCCAAAGCGTTCACTAGATGTTGCCAATCTTGGATACCGTGCTATATGTGCTATTCATCTTAGCACATTTATCACAACAACAAATTAAGTGTTTTTTTGCTTTTCTTCCCCCTGGTTTATCCAGATATACTGCAAAACTCCCAAAGGTTGGGAGTGGTCAATATACAACCCGCCAAGGTCTAGCCAGGGAAATATCGGCATTACTACCCTTTGGTACATATATCAAACATGGCAATACAGGGGAAACAATGTTTGATATACCCTATATTGCCATTTCCCTATCATGTTTGATATACCCTATATTTCCATTGTATACAATATCAGAAACATGGCAATTGAAAATTCACTATAAATGGTATATTAATCTTAATGGGAACAACATATCGAACTCCAAGGGGGGATTTTCCGCCGGCCATGTATGTATGTAATGTAATGTAATGTAATGTAATGCAATGTAATGTAATGTAATGTAATGTAAATGTAATGTAAATGTATGTATACATATATATATATATACATATTTATATATGTATAAATATACATATTAAGTTTAATATTCCATTGATATTCATCATTTTTCATCCATTCTTTGCACCAGATCTTAAAGCCACTGACGCCGTGTCGCTACTTGGCCCTCGTGAAAAAGGAGGAGCGCTACTTCCCATTGACTCACCCGTTCCTGAAACAATCAGCGGGTCACAGGGATAGGACCAGGATGGGATGGGAATTCCGAAGCCGCTTTTTTCGGATTCTCGGCAAATTTTCCCTGGAAACATCAACCCTTCGTGGTGAGAACCAGTATTTAACCACTTCAAGTGGCCCCAAAAAAAGGGAGGACATTGTACCACCATTACAGTCTCCATTATGACCCGAAGTACCTGGCCCCAAGCATTACCCTAACATTCAGAGGCTCGGACGACCAAAAAACCGCAAACCCAGGAAACTTATGACTGGAGAGGGGCCCACCTCGTGCAACCCGCGGCTTCCCAGATATTATTCTTGCTTTACAAAGCCCATGAGCTAGAGTTAAAAGTACCATAAACATCCACAAACATCCACAAACATCCATAAACATCCATAAACATCCATAAACATCCATAAACCATCGTGAAATTGGAGTGATGTTCACCAACTTCGCCGAACCAAGGCGATTTCGTCGGGGGTCGCAGGCACTGATCGCAGCATTGAAGGAGATCACATCTGGCTGCGCACCTCCGGGCGAAATGCCGCAACTTTTTTTTAAGGCTCGGAAGTCGAATGGTGATACCCTCTGGTAAACATACAGAAAACTACGAAATCAGCATTTTATAGCATTTTAAAGCTATTTCTATGGCCATTCTCAATAGCTATGTTAGTTTACCAGAGGGTACTAGCTCCAAAAAGTTATAACATATTATATATAACAATAGAAAAGAATGGCAATGCGATTTAGCACAATAACAAATGCTGATGATGATGCCAACAGCAGCGACAGCGCTAGAAACAAGAACAAGAACATTGAATATTCTAATAATAACTGGTTGGTGGTGTCAACCCCTCTGAAAAATAATAGTCAGTTGGGATCACTATTCCCAATATATGGAAAAATGAAAAATGTTCCAAACCACCAACCAGGATAATATGTGACATGAACCCAAGAAACATGTAATTACATATACATGCTCTAAAATTGAGCATGAACCCACAAAAGAACACCATCGAACAATGATTTTCCTTACCGATTTCCAGAGCTTCCCATCTTAGTGTTCAGGGCTGTTTCACAATAGTAAGAGTGCGAGTTGCTAACATCTTAGATAACCACAAAAATGTGTGGCACCTTAAAAAAAAACACTCTGTATATACTCTCATCAAAATGGCTATCTTTTTTTTTAGCCATGAAACTGTCCAACCAAGGTTTACCCTCTGGTAAACATCCAAAAAACTATGGAAAATCAGCATTTTCTAACTGGGTAAATCAACTAAAAAATGGCCGTGTTCAATAGCAAAATGTTGGTTTACCAACCCAACTTCTGTATCCAAAAGCGGTTTCATATCTTAGTATACCCAGTGTTCGGCCTGCCATGGAGCGCAACAGGAGCAGTGCCCATTCCCACTCTCCTTGGACGTGACGAATTTCTGGATTTCCCACCGTATCTATGAAGCTACGCTCTGGTAATTTAACATGGCATTGGAAGCCATGGACCATTTATAGATGTTTTACCTATTAAAATGGTGATTTTCCAGTTCGTATGTTAGTTTACCAGAGGGTACCCTCTCTGGTAAAAGAAGCCTGGCATTTCGGAAAGTGGGGTGATTCTATGCTTGTTCTGCCTGGCAAGATTCCCATGCTGCGTGGGTAGATCCCCATTCTTGCATGGAATTCCCAGCGGGGTCACAATCTCATGTTTCTTCGTTGCCCATGTTTGTTGGTGATATCCCCATTGATGCTCATGAAATCCCATGTTCTGTTCATGGAATCATATCAAATTCCCAAGTGAGCTTATCTGAAAACAGTAGACCCCTGCACCAACTGCTTACTGTAATCATCATCATCATCACCACCATGTTTATCATCATCATCATCATCATCATCATCATCATCATCATCATCATCATCATCATCATCATCATCATCATCATCATCATCATCATCATGTGATCATCATCATCATCACCACCATCATCATCCCTGCTTATAAAACATGTTTTCAGACGCACCCAAATTGGATGAATCCCACTACCCCTGGGTGAATCCCACAAAATATTTTGCTGGATTTGTGTCGGAAAATACCATGGGATGTGTCGGAAAATATGACGCAACAGCCATTTTTTCATCCAACAAAAAAGGACGAAACTGGCTGAAAATATCAAGTTCCCTATGAAAATGATATTTCATAACTGGGGTGAACAAGTCACAACTTCAGACATAGCCATATCACATATCCATTCTTCATTGGATACATCCCGATTGTTGATGCTTCAATCCCAATTTTTGATGGCTTATGCTTATGCTCATATAATGTTAGTAAAGCAAAAACGGATCCACCATCCCCAATTCTTCCATTTTTATGGGAGGTATGAAGCATCAATCCATATGGTTGGTTTATTGTTGCTGCAAACTAACATTACATTCATTTATTTATAGTGCAATACTGGTTGGTGGTATACCTACCCCTCTGAAAAATATGAGCTCGTCAGTTGGGATGATTATCCCATATATGAAATGGAAAATAAAAGCCATGTTCCAAACCACCAACCAGAATAAAGATGGACAGTGCTGTTTTCCCAGAAGTTTGGTCCAGCGGCCTTCCTTTTCACAAGCGCTGATGGTCGCATTCCACGGCACCACATTCAGCGGAAGCATCTTTGAAAGCAACGCAACGAGAAGCAGGGCATTCTGCCAGGCTGAACCTTCAAAGAAGTGGGAAGTGATGGTGGAATGCAATTACTCATGTTCAATGGACTGATTCAACGGAAAAATCTGCAGGAAATCATGGTCTCTATGGTTTTTGCTATTGAATCTGCAGGTTTCCTGCAAAAGCTTCCCATCATCCAATCATACGTAGGAAATGTGGGAATGAGGATCTTTCGCAATAAAAATGGTAGTATATAAACCAACCACAATTGAGGATAAAGTGGTGATATAATGGGAATGTATGATATGATATGTGCCATGGTCAGGTTACATGTCTAATTTACTAATGAAGTACGGTCATCCCAGCATCGTGAATGGGTTTTTTTTACAATGGCTATGTCAATCCCGTTCAATGGGGGGATGACCATCACTTAAATTCGGTACATCACGGGGACAACTATAGACACACCATCACACACCGGAATAGATGGGAGTATCCGACTATCCTTACTCCATTAACATTGATTATTGATCTACCATCTTGGATTGTTTTATTGGATCAATGGGAATTCACGGCGAAACCGCCGCTGGCTGCACCTTTTTCAAAGGCGCTGAGGGTGGCACTGCCAGAAAACACCTGGGTTCGAGCTGCGCTGGGAAATCCCCGCACTTTTTGTGGAGTTTTTCATGGGAAAATGATGGGAAATTAGGCTGGGAAATCCATGAACTAAATGGAGGTTTAGTTCGGAAAATCATCTACAGTCTATAAACGAGTGATGTTCACGCCTTTTTTCTGCGGCCCCTATGGGCGATCTCTTGACGGCACACAGCTGCCATCACAGTAGAAACCACATCAAAATAGCTGGGATTTATGAATGTTCATCCCCTGACAAAATGTATCTATAGCCATATACATATATATATATATATATACATACATATACATATACATATACGTATACATATACATATACATATATCATATATATATATATATATGTACTTACATAACCATTAAAATCCATTAAATCAAACATAGGTTAAATCATCCATCATCGGGTTGCTTAGATCCCCGACTCTTTCGATCCCAACCACAGCATCCAGGTACATCTGCTTCGAGGTTCTTCCACTGCAGCTGGCAGTAGAGATCTGCAGAAAGAGGCCACTGGTCTCCTGCATTTGGCCCCGTTTTCTGGCGAAAATCGGGGAGGCCGGGGGATATCATGGGGATATAATGGGAATGGTATGTATGTACCGTATGTATGTACCGTATGTATGTACCGTATGTATGTACCGTATGTATGTACCGTATGTATGTACCGTATGTATGTACCGTATGTATGTACCGTATGTATGTACCGTATGTATGTACTGTATGTATGTACCGTATGTATGTACCGTATGTATGTACCGTATGTATGTACCGTATGTATGTACCGTATGTATGTACCGTATGTATGTACCGTATGTATGTACCGTATGTATGTACCGTATGTATGTACCGTATGTATGTACCGTATGTATGTACCGTATGTATGTACCGTATGTATGTACCGTATGTATGTACCGTATGTATGTATGTATGTATGTATGTATGTATGTATGTATGTATGTATGTATGTATGTATGTATGTATGTATGTATGTATGTATGTATGTATGTATGTATGTATGTATGTATGTATGTATGTATGTATGTATGTATGTATGTATGTATGTATGTATGTATGTATGTATGTATGTATGTATGTATGTATGTATGTATGTATGTATGTATGTATGTATGTATGTATGTATGTATGTATGTATGTATGTATGTATGTATGTATGTATGTATGTATGTATGTATGTATGTATGTATGTATGTATGTATGTATGTATGTGGGGTAGGGTATGTGTATGTGATGGATGTTATAGGTAGTAATGTATGGTATGTATGTTGTGTATGTTGTGTATGTTGTGTATGTTATGTATGGTATGTATGTTGTGTATGTTGTGTATGTTGTGTATGTTATGTATGGTATGTATGTTGTGTATGTATGTTGTGTATGTTGTGTATGTTGTGTATGTTGTGTATGTTATGTATGTCATGTATGCGTTGTATGTTTTTATGTTATGTATGTTATGTGTGTAATGCATGTAATGCATGTAATGCATGTAATGCATGTAATGCATGTAATGCATGTAATGCATGTAATGCATGTAATGCATGTAATGCATGTAATGCATGTAATGCATGTAATGCATGTAATGCATGTAATGCATGCAATGCATGTAATGCATGCAATGCATGCAATGCATGTAATGCATGTAATGCATGTAATGCATGTAATGCATGTAATGCATGTAATGCATGTAATGCATGTAATGCATGTAATGCATGTAATGCATGTAATGCATGTAATGCATGTAATGCATGTAATGCTTGTAATGCATGTAATGTATGCAATGTATGTAATGTATGTAATGTATGTAATGTAATTATGTAATGTATGTAATGTATGTACTGTATGTAATGTATGTACCGTATGTACCGTATGTAAGGTATGTAATGTATTTACTTATTTATGTATGTATGTACGTACGAACGTACGTACGCACGTACGTACGTATGTATATATATAGTATACTGATGTAATAACCAAGCAACTATGAAATTCACATGGTTCATCCTTCTTAGCAAGTGGGGTTTGTTCACCCCAGTTACAAGTGGGTAGTCCGCTACCGAGTAGCCAAAGGCCACTGGGCCCGACTTGTTTGATCCTTTTTCGAGACCTGAAGTGATTATTCTAAATGGTTATCAGATGATCAGTATTTTTTTGCGTATAACTCATGGAATATCCAAATGGTGACTGGTTACAAAGCATTTCTTGGTGGATTCTTCACATCTCCATACTGAGAGTTCTGTATAAATATACCTTCTGGTAATTTAACATAGCTATTGAAAATGGCCATTTATAGTTGATTTAGCTATGAAAAATGGTGATTGTCCATAGTTATGTTAGTTTACCAGAGGGTACCTGTGAGATCCTGTGAGCCTGTTTTTTGATTTCCCACAAATCACCTGTATTTCACATCCATATCCCACCTAAAGAGGTGGACCCTGGTCCCTGGGACCCCCAATTTCCTGGGCTGATTATCCTTCATCCACCAGCAGTGAAAGGAACTATTAGCCTGGAATATCTTGAGACATTTACAGACACAAATAAGGGGAATTCCCAAACCACAGCTCTGAGCTGATATGTTGAGATCGAGAAAAAGCTCATCCAGATTGGTGGTTCCAAAGGCAGAATCCGATGCTGACGATGACAAAAACGATGATAACAACGATCACAACGACGATGATGGTGATTCTAAGGGGAAGGAGGAGAGGGAGGACGACGACGACAACATCTTCTCCCCATGTTTTCCCCATTTTGTGAGGACGACGGGTTTTACACCCCATGTTTGCCAAAATACGTCTGTTCGGGACACCAAAGTTCGTCCTTTCTCTCCAGCGCTGATGACTGAGTTGAACGAAATCAGGTCTGGTTCAACTCCCTGTGCTGATTGGATGCGAGTTGGGTGTCGGAATGCCATGGGGTGCCCCAAAACCATGGGGCTTTCCATGTTAAGCGCAAAATCACATGGGTCATGGTAAGTCTAACCAGTCTAACATAGGAAATCACATAATCTAACCTCCATTTGAGAAAGAAAAACTGGGACTTCACCTAAAAATCGCTTATTCCAGCCGGAAAAAAACCTCTGACGAAACCACCAATCGCTCCCCGGGGATCTGAGCAACAGAGTGGTTTACCAACGGGTCCAACAACAGGTCCGGAGCTAGTTTTGTGTCACTCAAACGGCTCCCAACAAACAGGATCAGCAAAATATGGAGCTAGCTAAAAAGAAACCCTCTACTAGTGCCATTTTCAAGATTGGTACATTCAAAAATGTGGAGACTCAGAACTGATGAAGCTCACACCCATCCTGGATGGGTCAAAGTTGGTTTCCTTCCAAATGTGGAGCGTTCCTGCAAATCTGCAAAATCCAGGGTAAAATGGGTAAAATCATGTTGGTAACTTATGTAAATGATGTACAGCATTCAATGGTTCTCGGCGGCTTACACCAGACCAGCCAAAAAAATGTGTAGGTGCATCTATATACATATACATATACATATACATATACATATATATATATATATATGATCCCGGTCCCCGGTCCCGTAGCCCCCCTCCCCAATGGTATGGTCCCCTACTCCCTGACCTAGAATCTTTCATTTCCATGGTATTCACAGCATTTTGGATGCAAAACCTCATATGTCCACAGTATCTGCACCAGTTTGGATGGAGAACCTCATATTTCCATGGTAAATACAGCATTTCGGATGCACAACCTACTTATGTAGGAACTAAAGATTATAGTTATATTACCTCTTTATACATATACACATATTTATATATATACTATATATACTATATATACCATATATACTATATATACCATATATACCATATATATACTATATATACTTTATATACTACATATACTTTATATACTACATATACTACATACCTCTTTATACATATACACATATTTATATATATACTATATATACTATATATACCATATATACTATATATACCATATATACCATATATATACTATATATACTTTATATACTACATATACTTTATATACTACATATACTACATATACTACATATACTACATATACTACATATACTATATATACTATATATATACTATATATATATACTATATACGTACTATATATACTATATATACTATATATACTATATATACTATATATACTATATATACTATATATACTATATATACTATATATACTATATATACTATATATACCATATATACTATATATACTATATATACTATATATACTATATATACTATATATACTATATATACTATATATACTATATATACTATATATACTATATATACTATATATACTATATATACTATTTATACTATTTATACTATATATACTATATATACTATATATACTATATATACTATATATACTATATATACTATATACTATATATACTATATATACTATATATACTATATACTATATATACTATATATACATACATACATACATGCATGCATACATACATACATACATACCTACCTACCTACCTACATACCTACATACCTACATACCTACATACCTACATACCTACATACCTACATACCTACATACCTACATACCTAAATACCTACATACCTACATACCTACATACCTACATACCTACATACCTACATACCTACATACCTACATACCTACATACCTACATACATACATACATATATGCATATATACATATATACATATCTACATATATTCACCCACCCAACTCCCACATCCACAGGGGGGAGGGGGGAACCATGACCATGGGGGGGAGGGGGGGTCCCGGAAACTGGAACATATATATATATATGTATTTATATATACATGATATCATGATATATTATGTATGAGTCAGCTGACAGAACCATCGCTTTAGACAGCTCGTGTTTGGTGACTCTCATCGTTTCTGGGTCCCGTAGCCGCCGTAGCCATGGCTACGAAGCTGCCTCCAAATGCAGCAATGCCTTTCGCCAATGGCTGCCTGCCGTGTGCGAAAAATGGGTTACCTCTGCTCTGAACTGGCTGGTTTTCATGAGCTGTAAACTCAACAGTTATCATCCCCAACAAGAAAAGCCCCTAAAAAAATCACCAATCAATTCAATCAACCATCAGTTTCCAACTATATCCCCATCTGTTTGTGACATGACTTATGAATACTTATGACACCAGTCATGATCGGATTTCATCCGCTCGTCTCCATCTGGGGTCCGCCACTCCCCTGTCGAAGCCCTCCAGCCTTTCTCAAAGGCGCTCAGCAAGGTGTTGTGGGTGATCCTATCAGAATTTTGTCATCCGCTGCCACCACTGGAAATCTGTCATGGTAAACCAACCAGCATGGATCCATGCTCATCTCAAAACCAGCTTGGGTCTACACCTTATGTCTACTGAAAATTCCAGTCATCATTGGATTGGTTTACAGGACATCTTATAGGAAACTCTCATGATCTTCATGGTAAAAACCATGGTTTCCGATGAAGATTTTCCCGACTAAACCAATCCAATGATTTTTCAGTTTTTTTGGGGCGAGTTTCCCCCACTAACCATCTCCAACCAGCAAAACTTCCCCACGCCTGTTGGCAACTTGGCCCATCTCAAGCAAGCAGCCAGCCATGGGCCAGGGAGAGGCCTTGCAGCATCCCCTGCATCCCACAGAAATTGTCGCTTTCGAAGCCATATACCCTGGTTAATCATGGTTGATAATGGTTGATAACGGTTAATTCATCATGGTTTATTGTGGTTTATCATGGTTGAGAATGGTTTATAATGGTAAAAATCATGGTTAGTCATAGTATAAAATGATTCATAATGGAAAATAGTAAACAATAATAGATGAATAATGGATAATTATAGGAATAACAATCGGAATAACAATGGGAATATTATGGGAAATTGTGATTTTTTACTATCAAAAATGTGGTGATTCGATGGGAATATCATATGAATATACCCTCTGGTTAATTAATATCCCTATGGAAGCCACGGCCCATATTTATAGATGATTCATGATGATTAACCTAGCTATAAAATTGTGATTTTCACAGCTAGGTTAAATAACCAGAGGGTATCCTCATAATACATAAATATATATATATATATAACTGGGGATTTTGTCCATAAGCCCTCTATCATATGGTCCTACCTACTGAACCTAATATTTGAGATGCACCTCCCAAATAAGGCTTTCGCCCTGAGAAAGATCGGCTTTGAACCAATTGGGTTTTGGCCAGAAATGGATGATCAACACCACCAATAAATGTCAGGCATTTCATCAGTGAAATTTGGATTGACAATGATTTATATTTCATATGTATTTACATGTATCATTATAATTGAGATACGGAACATCTTGGTTGCAACAATCATAGAGAAAATACAAATAGGAGGTGATGGGATGTAACCAACGTTATATGAGTTTCTCCAGAAATATGGGGTGGACCATGTGACCATCGGAGAACACTGAGTTTCTATTCTATGGGATCTTAGGGTACCATATTCTCAGACAAAGCCACTTGATATCGATAATTTGGGATAATCCCCATAGCAGCAGTAAAAAGGTGATCCTGCTACCAGGCTTGCTCCCAACTTCCCAGGGTACCAACAAGGGAGTAGTTGATTAATCAAGAGCTAAAATTTGACCCATTCCCTCCCACAGGTGGCTATCATAAACCTTCTTTTTGGGCTGGAGCAATTCGTAATTTTCCAGCCATTGAACACGATTGAACCCCATTTTCACTGGTGAAATCCCCATTTTCCCCAAGCAGTCGGCAAACACTTGGGATTCATGGATACGATTTCTGGTCGAGTCGTGGTAATCTCCATCCCAGGCAATCCTTCGAAATCGATCCAAACGTGGGGATTAATATCCTCTGGTAATTTTAGATAGCGAACTGGAAAATGGCAATAGAAATAGTTGATTTACCCAGCTAGAAAATGGTGGTTTTCCATACTTTGGTGTATGTTTACCAGAGGGTAAATTACTATGAAAATGGAGAAAAATGACCATCCCCCCATTTGAATTTTTGCAGTCCAGCTTTTGACCATGGCAAAGATTTGTTGCGATAGAAACCAAAGCGAGGTTTCTTGTGCCCAACTGTCGAAAATGTCGGTTAAATACTGGGGATGTACCAAACAAATTGGGCAATCTGAACGTTTGGAACCCAAAAATCCAGTGGTTTAGAAAATCATGTTCAGTGGTTCCTCTCCATGTGCCCTTACATTCGTCATTTCCGTCATGTTTATATACTACACTACTGTATTATTTGGAGCCTTGTTCGAAGTAACCCTGCGCGAAACCAAAGTAAAATGCGTGAATAAATACGATGCAATTACATTCAATTACTGGGATTTAGCTTGGGAAAAGTTCCTGGATTTCCCATTTCGGGACGAGCATGAAGCCGGCTGTTCGATGATGTTTTCCCCATCCTGTCGTTCAGCCAAGCCGCTGCCAACAAGGTGTTAAGTGTGATGGTGTCGCTACGCAACTGCAGCTCCTCGATGGGGTGGGTCGGATCGAAACTCGTGAAAATCACCTGGTGGAAAAATAAACCACAAACAGCAACCGTTCCCATTGCAGTTAAACATAACTTGGGTAAATCATAAAATTATGTTACTTTGGGATTTGCCCTACTAAGCGTCATTTACAGGCTGTGGTCAACCAGTGAACTTGTTTGTTCATCTGCTTCTAACAGCAGATTAGTTGGCCAAAGGCCCAATTCTTGTAGGTTTTACTTGATTGTATCATGTTGCTGCTGAATCGACGGAGCTTTGGTTTCTGAATCGTCCTGCTTGGTTTCTGAATCGGTGTTTTTTGGTTGCTGAAGCGGTCGACGATCATCATGGGGCTGGCAATCTTAAAATAATTCCCTCAGTCCCCATTTCAGTTTTCATGACTGATCCTAGATACAAACATAGAAAATAAATATGTAGCTGTATACATGTGTATGTGTGTATGTGTGTATGTTTGTATGTATGTATCTATGTATGTATGTATGTATGCATGCATGTATGTACGTATGTGTATGTATATGTATGTAAATGTATGTATATGTATATGTATATGTATATGTGTATGTGTATGTGTATGTGTATGTAAATGTATGTATATGTATGTATATGTATGTATATGTATGTATATGTATGTATATGTATGTATATTTATATATATGTATATGTATGTATACGTATATGTATGTATACGTATGTATACGTATGTATATGTATGTATATGTATGTATATGTATGTATATGTATGTATTTGTATGTATATGTATGTATATGTATGTATATGTATGTATATGTATGTATATGTATGTATTTGTATGTATATGTATGTATATGTATGTATATGTATGTATATGTATGTATATGTATGTATATGTATGTATATGTATGTATATGTATGTATATCTATGTATATGTATGTATATGTATGTATATGTATGTATATGTATGTATATGTATGTATGTATATGTATGTATATGTATGTATATGTATGTATATGTATGTATATGTATGTATATGTATGTATATGTATGTATATGTATGTATATGTTTGCATATGTATGTATATGTATGTATATGTATGTAAATGTATGTATGTATGTATGTATATGTATGTATATGTCTGTATATGCATGTATGTATGTATGTATGTATGCATGTATGTATGTGTGTATGTATGTATATGTATATGTATATGTATGTATATGTATGTATATGTATGTATATGTATGTATATGTATGTATATGTATGTATATGTATGTATATGTATGTATATGTATGTATATGTATGCATATGTATGTATATGTATGTATATGTATGCATATGTATGCATATGTATGCATATGTATGTATATGTATGTATATGTATGTATATGTATGCATATGTATGTATATGTATGTATGCATGTATGTATGTATGTATGTATGGTATGTATGGTATGTATGTATGTATGTATGTATGTATGTATGTATGTATGTATGTATGTATGTATGTATGTATGTATGGTATGTATGTATGGTATGTATGTATGTATGTATGTATGTATGTATGTATGTATGTCTATGCATGTATGTATATGTATGTATATGTATGTATATGTATGCACATGTATGTATATGTATGTATATGTATGTATATGTATGCATATGTATGTATATGTATGTATATGTATGTATATGTATGTTTATGTATATGTGTGTATATGTATGTATATGTATGTATATGTATGTATATGTATGTATATGTATGTATATGTATGCATATGTATGTATATGTATGTATATGTATGCATATGTATGTATATGTATGCATATGTATGTATATGTATGTATATGTATGTATATGTATGTATGTATGTATGTGTGTATGCGTGTATGCGTGTATGTATGTATGTGTGTCTGTGTGTATGTATATGTGTATAGATGTATGTAGCAAAGCCCAAAATGTATGCATGTGTTTTCATTAAGAAAGTCATAAGTGACAATCATAATATTTTTCATACCTGGTGGATTTCAAAAGGTCCTATAGAAAAATGGTGGATGTTTTTCAAAAACCGGCAATAAATGCCACTACCCTCTGGTAAACTAACATGTATAGCGAACTGGAAAATCACCATGTCTAATAAGTAAATCAACTATTTCTATGGCCATGTTCAAGAGTGATATAACAAATTACCAGAGGCTATCATAAGAATTTTCCTAGTGGGTTTCAAAAATTCCTCTAGAAAAATGGTGGATGTTTCTTGCATAAAACATAAACTGGTTGGTATTTCAACCCCTCTGAAAAATATTAGTCAGTTGGGGCTACTATGCCCAATATATGGAAAAATAAAACATGTTCCAAAACACCAACCAGTAAAAATTATACCAAGAGATCCACCAAATCCACCAGATCGCCTGCATGGCACTGGTGACTTCCAACGCACAGGGCCAGCTTTGTAGGCGATTCATGCAGCTGTTGAAGCTCGTGACCTGGTCACCAACAGTCGCCGTGCTAAGGCTCAATTTTTTAACCGTATCTGGTATTAGAGATATTTGTGGACATATAGATCCAGTATTTTTTAAAAGATCTTATAATTTTGATGTAATTATAATTCATATCTCAATTACATAGATGCACAAAAAATACTAATAAGATCCAATAATGTACCTCTGGTAAATTCACAGCTCGATCCTGAAAATCACCCATTTGTTGGTGGAAACTATTTTTTCAACCCCAATCTGGCAGGGTCGAACTGTGAATTTACTGGAGGGTAATACCAATAAACTCCAATAATTAGAGGTAATAGTTATCTATTGATATATATATATCTCTCTCTCTCTCTCTCGCTCTCTCTCTCCTTCAATATAATATCACCATTCTATCACCATTTGTAGTCCTGGGTGAATTGCAATGTGTGACCAAGCTGAAAGAAGGCCAGCTTTGGGGATGACTCCCCCCAAACCTAACTATGATTCCAGGGTTCGGTCACGGTGAGGTCACTACAGTATAATTTACCCAGAAACATGCCATTGTTTTATGGCACTACTGTGGAAATAAATTGTGGAAACTACCAATAAAATCTGGAAACGGATGAATTGGAAACCAGCAGTAGATCACACCAGCAGTACCGCACAAGGCGGTGGTGGAAGTTTCAAAGATATATAGGAGAGGTGAGTTGTTGTGATGCATGGATGGCAGAGCGAATGGACCGAAAGGTGGTTGGAGTTTTGTTTCTTGGAGTGGTTGCAGCGGTTGCAGTGGTCATCTCACCCACAACTGCTGGATGTAGTGTGGTGTAATGCAGCTGTAGTTGTACTTGTAGTGTAGTGTGCTTAGCGTGGTGCAGTTGCAGTTGTAGTTGTGGTGCGGTGTAATGAGTGTAGTGCAATGTAATGTAGTGTAGTGTAGTGTGCTGTAGCGTTGCGTGCTGTAGTGTGGCCTAGTCTAGTCTAGTGTAGTGTGGTGAGGTGTGGTGTACTCTAGTGTGGTGTAGTGGAGTGTAGCGTAGTGGAGTGTAGTAGTGTAATGTAGTGTAGTTGTAGTTGTCGTTGTCGTTGTAGTTGTAGCTGTAGCTAGCGTAGTGTAGTGTAGTGTAGTGCAGCGCAGCGCAGCGTAGTGTAATGTAATTAGTGTAGTGTAGCGTAATGTAGTTGCAGTTGTAGTTGTAGCTGTAGTGTGGTGTACTGTAGTGTAGTGTAGTGTAATGCAATTGAGGAAGTGAACTGGAGTGTAGTGTAGTGTAATTAGTGTAGTGTAGTGTAATGTAGTGTAGTTGTACAATATAGTGTAGTTGTAGTTGTAGTTGTACTTGTAGTTGTAGTTAGTGTAGTGTAGCGTTCTGTAGTGTAGTGTAGTGTGGTGTGGTGTGGTGTAGTGTAGTGTGGTGTGGTGTAGTGTAGTGTCGTGTGGTGTAGAGTAGTGTAGTGTAGTGTAGTTCAGTGTAATGTAGTGGAGTGTAGTGTAGTGTAATGTTTAATTAGTGTCGTGTAATTTAATGTAGTGTAGTTGCAGTTTCAGTCGTAGTTGCAGGTTGTAGTTGTAGTTGTGGTCGTAGTTGTAGTTGTAGTTGTAGTGTAGCGTAGTGGAGTGTAGTGTAGTGGTGGTTGTTATTGAAACTGCTACAAAACCCTCACGTTTTACTCGCTTTTGGCAAGGTGCGCAATCCCTTGCGCCTGCCAACACGAAACGACATCTGAACCTCCAAAAATGCTCCGTGCCCATCAGTGTTTTGCACTTTTGACCTGGAAATGCGCTTCGCGCCACAACCTCGTGCACTTTTTGAACATCTCAACTTCCAAAAGTGGTCCGACGTTGTTGTGCTTTGATGTGCTTTGTGCATTTTGACTTCGAAATGCGCTTCGCGCCACAACCGCGTGCAACTTTTCATCTCTCATCTGGCCAGATGGCTCCCGCACCCGCCGCTTTAGCGAGCCTACTTTTCGACCCTCCGGAGCCACAAATGATTGGAAAAACACAGTGTTTCGTGACTTTGCTACCTTTTTGCACACCTGCATCTTCTTTCTTCTCACTCTTTCTCTTCTCTGATCTTCTCTCTTCTGCTCTTCTCTTCTCTGACTCTTCCCACCTCTGCTTTTCCATCTGTCCGTATTGTCGGAAGTTTGACTTATTAACTAATGTGTTAATGGTCATAGCTACATGTTGCCTTATGAGGTGAAAAGCAGTTGGAGAGTTGTTCATTTTGCAACACAAATATCCCATGAATACTATTCAGCATAGGAGCAGTGTTCAAAATTCTCTGTTTTCATTTTATACTACATGGTAATAGGGGATTCCCACAATGTATTATGATAATCCCCATCATATTGGGTAGTATAATCCCGTATAGCATCAACCAACAATGAACACTGCTCATGTATTCTACCAGGTTTAGTACATTTGGAAATTGATGGACAAGTTTCCCAACCTGAAAAGTTCGGCAGGTTTAATTGGGACTTCTCCAGTAGCTCGGCAAGCACCAGGTTCACAGAAATCAAATCCCAATGGCTAAGTTGCCATTTGCAAGATCCGATGTTGCTCTTGCTCTTGCATGGGGTCGCTTCAACAGTTTATTTTAACCCCAACCTCCCAAGGTTTCGAACAATAACGTGTCTTCTCGTTTTTACAAGTTTGTTGGGCATCCCCAAAAAAATAGACAGACAACCTCAAAAAATCATAGAAGACTCCAGCTCCCAAAAAAAAGGCGAACGTTTCGGTTGCATAAATCGAGCTACGTCCGGCTGGAGAGTTGGAGTGCGAAAGGAAGCCTTTGAAAAAAGGCGGCCGACTTCGAAAGGTGATTTCAAAAAGATGGGGATATGAAAATGGGATCATCCGAGGGATGTTAGATATCATATCATATCCCTATGAAGCTGTTAATATCGAAAACTGGATAATCAATGGATATGAAGGTGGATGAAGATGGGGATGTTAGGATATTTGACCAGCTTGAGAGTTGGCTTTGGCACCAACTAAATGGGTTGTGTACCCAATTCATGGCCAAGGTTTAGAAAGGGGAAATGGTGATGAACCATTCAATTTTGGGGGGTCCCTTATTTTCAGACCAACCCAGTTCTTGACAGCGAAACAGGTCGGTGGTGAATGTCCCCTTCCCAGGAACACAATCAAGGGGATGCTACTATTTGTGTACAGGGCGAATCTTAAGCACAAGCAACAAAAAAGAGTTGGGCGAATCTTAACTAATGAATTACCACCTAAACTGGCTCTACACACCATAATGTTGATTCAGACAATTCCATGTTTCTTGGTCAAATCGCCATTTTTCTTCGTCAAATCTCATTTTTTCTTGTCCGTTTAGACCTTTAGATGGTTGTTGTTGGTGTTTTCCCCTCATCGCTATGTTCCCGAAAACAGGACTGCCGTGATCCCCCTGGGTCATTGGGATTTCCAGTGGCCAATTTTGAGGCTTGGAACTGCCAAGAGCTCTATAGCACGTGGCCATGCGCACGTCGCAGCCAGATAGGAGTTGAAGAAGATCACCTGGGAGGATCCCAAAAAGTGCTGGATCTGTTGCGCAACACGAATGGCGTTTTCCATAAACAGGGGTCATTACCCAAAAATGATGGTTTTTAAGGGAAAATCCAATCTATAAATGGATGATGATTAGGGGTACCCTATGACTTAGGAAACCTCCAAATAGGATTTTTGGCCCAGCAAGGCATGTTCCAAGCCATTTGCACAAACATCCCGATGGGAGTGCGAAGAAGAGCGAGTAAGTTTAGGGTCAATTAGGGTCAACTTCTCCAAAAGGATGTGGAAAACCATGGTTTCCCCAGGAAAAATGATCTATGAATGGTGGGCGTTCCACAATTTTTCCGTATGTTTACATACAGAATGCTAAGAAAAAACACAACCGGTCTTGCATCGCCATTGATGATGTGTCAATCCCGTTTCAAGGACTGGATAGTTTTCAATAAAACTCGCTTTGGTTGGTTGATCCCCCGCGAAAAGTCAACAACTGCGATTTGGGTTTGTCTAGAAATAGGGTACCTTCAAATTCGATGGTTGGTCATGAAAATTGTCCCCTACGGCCCTACGGCCCTACGGCCCTACGGCCATCTCCACCGTACAAATATATGTTCAAAGAAGCATCCTTTGTTTGATGAATTATCTTTGAAAAAATACTGAAATAGTGAGTGGGTGGCTGCAATCCACTCAGGCAGTCGCACCTAAGATTGAAACCTTCAACATAGTCAACATAGCATAGTTGATATCCTCGAAATATCTGGGGTCTCACACGGACAAGAAGGAAACAATGCCACCAAACACCATGCCTTCAAACTTTCTTCAATTATAGCAACCCCCAAAAAGACAAAACAGTGAAATTCAACGGAAGTAGTGGCCACCTTTTACTTCTCAGTCTATACCTTTTTGGGGTGCTATACATGGGTTACCCTCCAATAAACTAATGCAGCTTTGGAAAACCCACCATGAATGTAGATTATTTCCAAGGGAAAAAACCATGGATGTCCATAGTTGTTTTTGTATGTCTAGTGGGGCGTACATTGGCTTCGAGTCGCAATTGAGCAGTGTTTAAAACCCTCCGTCATCCCTTAATATTAATATCGAAAGTTACTTTTCCCAATCTCACTCCAGCTCAAGGGTGCGTGTCTCCCTCAAGAAAACTGGTGTTGCCTCAGATTGACCATAATTATACGGTTGGGGTTATCTATGTACGCATATGTACAGACTGCCAGTATTCTATTTTATCTCATGTGATGCCAGAATTAATCAATAATTTGATTCGTTGGAACTGCAAAGGCTGCATCGGAAAATCCATCGGTCCCGTACAGTACAGATTCACAATTCCCTCGTTGCTGGCTCAGTGCCACGTAGCTGGCTCAATGCCTCGTTGCTGGCTCAGCGCCTCGTAGCTGGTAATGTTTGACCCAAAAAAAACGCGAAAAAATTGAGCCAGCTACATGCCCTTCAGCCAGCTCGGTGTGCCGTCATCATCCCGGGCAATACATATTATGTGTTCGTTTTTAGCTTTCACATTCGCTCGCCAGCTCAAGGTGACGTAGCTGGCTCAATTTTTTCGAAGTATTTTTTCGTTTTTTTTCATTCAAAAAAATTGAGCCAGCTCGATGCCATTGAGCTAGAGCGATGTGTTTGAGCTAGCGCGGTGTTGCTGAGGTAGCTCGTTCCACTTGAGCGAGCCTACAAATTCTTCCCAATGTGTTCAGTTGCGAGTCAATGGTGTATTTTCAGGTTTCAGCAAGGGATGTTACTTATCCCAAATGGACTGATAAACCTAACAAGTGGAACCAACAACTACAACCGTTAAGCACGCGACTCACACCTTTTAGCACTGAGCCGCACAGCTGTGGTAACATGCTATAATACATGATGTTTTACATGGGGTGCAAATACACCCCCCTCAGGTGAGCCGGACACGGCAAGGCTGCCCATTTACCAGGGCGAGGCTTTTAAAGCCTGCCTTACCGATCCAACTCTTTGCAAACCCAAGGGAAAACATTCAAAAGTATGTGCGGCTTTGTACAATCGATCGTCAATGCAAGCAGTGTCACAACTTATCCCTCTTCCGACTCAACTCGGCCATGCCTGATGACTTTCTCATACCAGCGTCCATGCCACTTCTGCCATTCTCCAGTGTAACGGCGATCATCGTGGGACTGACTTTGGTGAGGGCGGTTGATCCACTGACTTGCAGACGTTGATGATGAAGCTACCTCTACGGTGGATGTTCGGGCAACCGGTTTGGCGGTGCCTTTCTTGGAGGGACCTTGGCCGTACGCACCAGTCTGCTCAGCTTTGCGCTTGGCCTCGTTCTGTTCGCGAGCCCTGTCAGACTGTTTCTTCTTCTCTGCTGCGTTCTGCTTGTACAGCTCCTCGTTTTGTCCCTTAATCCACCTCAAATGGCGTTCAGCATCATGAACAGCAATGTTGTCAACGCCAGTGCAAGACAACAAAAGGTTGTGTCCAGGATTCCGATCGAGGTAGTCAATGTACTCTTCCTCGGAGTAGATTTCCGTCCGGTACATGTAGAACCATGGCTGGTCGATGTATCTGAATGACTTCGGGACGTCAAGACGGCTTGCCATGTCCAAGTAAACCAGCCTCATCGCATTGTGCTCCAGCTGGGATTGCTCAGAAACACCCATCTTGACCTGAGCCTTGGTACGACCTGGCTTTGGCAAATGTGCGGACTTGAGGAGGTCGTACCTTTCACAATCGTACTCGTTCTCCCCCTCGTTCAGCACGCTCTCTGCGAATGTGGCGTCCTGGGCAAACCTGTCAGCCACAGACACATAGCCCAAGCTCAAGGCACGGTCGAATCGACTCTTTGCCCTTGCCAACAAACTGGCTTCCGGACTAGAGCTTCCTCTTGCCTGGTCGTCCAACAAACCCAAAGATTCAAGCTGACTGTGTGTGATGCTCTGCAGGTACTCACCACGAAAATCATAGTACAAGCCCAGCTTGTGAAGGGCGGCCTTCCTTCGTTCTGCAATCTTGGTTCGGTCGGCCTTGTTCACCCCTTCGAGCATCAATCCACACACATCGCATTCAATCTGTCCCTTGCAAGTCTGTGCAAAACATCTTGAACATTGCGTGACTTCAATCTTGACCGGCACCGGCTTCTTGTCCTCCTTCTTCACCTCTTTGTTCGAAGGTTGGTCATCGCCTTTAGGGCGAGACTTCTGCTTTGGCACCAGTGACTTTGATGTTGATGCCGGCGTCTTTTTGGGTGACTCTGCAACTGGAGCTTTTGGATCTTTCTGTACTGCCTTCGGCGGTGCAATTTTTGAAACAGGCTCCAAGAAGGCCGCAGCTGATGATGCCGCAGGCACAGCTGCGGGCACGCTTGTCAGGGCTGCCTTCTTCTTTGCAGGTTCATCCTTTGCTGCTGCATCAACTTCTGAGGTCACAGCTTTTGGAACTTCTGGTGCATGAGGTGCAGAAGTCCCTTCCTTCGGTGGTGGTTTTGGAGGTGCTTTTGGCGGTGTCTTTGGGCTCTCAACCTTTGCTGCAGGAGGTTTCGGAGCTTCACCCTTCGGAGGAGGGGGCAACAATCTGCTGCTTGCATATCCAGGCATACCGGCAAGTTGGGCCACATTTGGTGGCGGAGGCTTCACCTTCCCTGGGAAAAATGCCGTTGCAGTGGGCGCGCCAGTTGAGGCGGCCGGAGACGTGGAACCAGTCCGTTTTGATGCCTTGGCCTCAAAGGTCTCGACAAGCTGCTGGACTCCAACTTCTCCCCCACTGCTCGCTGCAGACTGTGCGACCTCCTGCTGGCGACGATACAAATTCACCTTCTTGGCAGTGTCATCGACAGAAATAATGTATTGTGGCGGGACGACGTCGCTTGTAAGAATGCCGTCGGAGGCTGTCCTGAAAAAACACAATTCCAGCTTTGACAGCTTCTGCCATTGCAACCCTGATTTCAATGGGTCGCTCAGCACGCAAACCGCTCACATACTCTTTCTCATCGACACGAACATCGCTAAAATAGGAGTGTGCTCTGCCTGATGAATTTCGTTCTCCTCCTCCAGCCATGAAGCCATTCTCAATGATGCCCTTCCAATTGCCTTTTGTAGTCCTGTGATAAACTACGCCAGGGCACATCTGAGGAGTGGTAATCTTTTTACCTTTGGCGTTCATTTTCTGGATCGCTGCTGCTCCAGACAGAGCATAGATTTCCACTGCATTGAACGTGTCCTCAGCTGAAGCGGCATCCATGGCACGTTTCGTATGCCCCTGCACTGCACGGATCCTGATGGGCCAGTAGGCTAACCCTTTACGGGTTGCCTTCTGGTACCCGGCAATGCACTGGAACTCAAAACGGCATTTGCTGTCCCAGTAGAGCAATGAAATAAGCTCTTCAACTGTCATTCGGGGCAACTTGGCTGGCAGCATTTGGTTGAACATTCGAAAGAAGTCATCAAGGTCAAGCCACATGTTTTCATCAAATCCAGAGGTGTCCTGACCCGGCTGTCCACGCGTCACTGCATTGACCTTGGTCTTGTGTCGGTCCATGCGATCTGGATACCTCAGCTCCTTTGCCCCATCCATCTCCCAACAGGTTTTGACGATCAATTCGTAGGGATGGGCATCAACGACACAATGTTCAACTACTTCTGCATTGATGTTTTCGTCCAAAGTGATACGATATTTGTCAAGGTGTCCAAGTGCATGTTTCGGAATGATGGTACCCTTGATCTCGTTTTCTTGCAGGGGCTCACCAGCTGAGGTGGCCTGAGTTGAATCCTCCTGTGTCGCTGGAGCTTTCGCCTTGGGGTCAGGTGGAGCTGCGTGGCTGGCCTTGGCTTTGCCCACCGATGGGCCCTCATGCTCATCGGGATCCAGAGCATCCCATTCTTCATCATCATCTTCGGCGACGCCAGCATCAGTCGGGCGAGCTCTCAACTCCTCTGCTGTGAAGCTTTCTGGGGTCGAGACGCTCGGTGCAGATTTGTTCGTCTTCTCCCGGAGAGCATTGAGAACCTGCACAAACCTGA